GTCCTTTACTCCTTATGATCTCATTTTTTTTTTTGTTCCATCCGATTCACCCTTTGAGCTAATCTAAATTCGGAGATCAGTTCTAGATGGTTAGGTTCCAGTCCCCTCCCTCAAAGGCAATTTTTATTTTACAATAGGTTGTACCGGAGGAACGTGGGATATTTGGGGATCACAAGGTCGATAGAAATAAGGTTTTTATTTGGTTTGAATAAATAAATACAATAAATGTTTCAAAAAAAAATACAATGAATTTTTTTTTTTTCCATTGAGAACGTATATTCAACCACAATTGCAAATTAGTCTTTCTTTGTTTAGTTCATTAAAAAAAATTCTAGAAACATTGAAAATAAGAGTCAAAATGTGAGGATAATTGAGAGGAAAGTAGAAAAGGGAATGGTGGAAGGAAAAAAGGCGACTTCCCTTCTTTTAAAAAGGAAAATGTTTTTCACCATTGAAAGTACAATGTAATAAGTTAGAGAAAGAGAAAATATGAAAATTCATACGAAGATTGAGGTGAGGGGAATAAGGGAGAATTGTTACGTTAATTGTTAATTGTTACAATAAGAATTGAATGTTAAGGATTGATGTTACAATTAATGTTACGTATTGAAATTGAATGTTACGGATCCATGTAACAATTATTTGTTAAGAACCATTAATTGTTACATCAATCCTACCTTAACATTCTATTTCAATATATGATATGATTTTTCTTAGTGTAATTTGATGTCTATATTAATTAACTATTATATATTCTTGAATGTTATTGATCATTTATCGGCTTTCTTGGATAAACAAAAATCAAAATTAAAAATGAGCACAATATTAAGACATCAATCACCCTTTTTTCCAAATGTGTCAACCTTCATATGTCTCAATTACACATGACAATATATAGTTTCCCAGAATTGTATGAGAAAGTTCAATAATCATGTTAAATCAAGAAATATGTGCATGAAATAAGTCTCACAAGCTAGTCATTTCAGTTGTAATAAGCACCTATCGCTTTTGTTCACCCCAGTTCTTGCCCTCGAAAAACTCGTTTAGCATACGATCAAGATCTTCTGCACTGAATCTGATATACTTTTGAGGGTTTTTTCCACTTTCTATCATAGGCCTACAACCACATAAATTCCCATATTATTCATCAGTTAACTCAGTTTATACAAGTATATATATGTTAATATATGAATCTTATATAGGATTGAAAGGGTTTGTTATGATCACTTACCCATAGCATTTGAAAAAATTTCTATAAGCAGGCAATAAGACCTCTGCTATAGCCAACCTCAGAGACTCGCGCAACTCACTGTCAGGAACTGTCCATTGAGATTGTCTTTGATGAAGCTCCTCGAATTGAATGTTGAAGTTCTTGAATCTCTCCTTTACCATTGACCTTGAAAGTGTTGGTGTTGCATCAGGCGTACTACCACCCCACTAGTCGAGCCTGCTGGTTGGACTGATAGAAATTGAAGGATCTACGAAAACAACAAAAATAAGGCTATTGCACTTTGTTGTTTATCATAACAAGCACAATAGTATGTAAGTAGAGCAATACTTTAGACCAGGAAATCCTCTTGTATTGATTAGCATGTTGTTGGACAATCCTACGATGTCGTTGAACCCAATCATCTCCTAGTAGGTCTTTTGCTTCAGACCTGCAGCAAAAGGAAAGCAGAATGAGTACGAGTAATGACAAGAAAAAGTTAAACAATAAAGATAAAAATGTGTAACAAACCTCCTAACTGATCGAACAATGTAATGAATGTTGTTCATAAGAAATAGTTGAGACAAAGCAGTATCTTTATACTGCTTGGATTTGCCATCCAGGTTAGTCTGGAGTGCTTGCATTATTCGAGTTGTGATTGCAGCTAACTGCGCTCCTGTATTATCACCACTGACTTCCTGAAAAAGTTGCTTCAGAGTGGACCGATAACTGTGAGACAGGAATTGATCACAATATGAATATATAACCGATTCATTGGAGAAATTACAAGACATCATTAAAATTACACTTGGCTTACTCGAACAAAAACTTGACATAGTTAATCACATAGCTAGTCAAAGGATGCACTGTTCCGTCCATAACAGTTGTTTTTGTGGCATCCTTCTCGACAGCATCTTCAAAATCACCAAATGTCTCATGGGTTGTTTGTGCTAGACGTTTTGTCAAGCTTGTCGCGGATTCCCTCATTTCCATACAAGGCTTACCCTCAAAAATAGTTTCTATCTATACATACAACAACAGAACCAAAAAATGTACTTACTGTCAAATCCTAACAGATATTTCAAATGGAAAAAACAGAGGAAATCAACTGAATTTATAAGAAAAATAAACACAATAAAATCAAAGATTAATTGATTCTTGTTACCTCAGGCTGAAGTTCTCTCATTATCTCATACATGTCCAACAATACAAATAATTTTTCGGGTGACCTTTTACTTCTAGCAATTGCATCCCCAAAACTAAGGAGCGAGGACACACATCCTGAAGTCACTTCAGCAAAACATAATATTCTGATTGATTCAATAGCTTTAAATATCTCATCACAAACTTTCTTCTCACCAGAAAAGAGCAGTTTAACCTGCATTATTGATTCATAATGCCAATAATAAATCCCATCACAAAACATTAGGATTGTGTAAAGACATCAGATACAAGATTGATTTCTTACAGCTATTCGCATAAAATGTATCCAATTCCCAATCTTTGCCTCCAAAGCCTCCCACTGCATCTTTTGCACATCTTCTTTGGTAAGTCTCTCCACCCCGAGTTTTCTAAATGTTATTTCCATTACAGATGAACGCGTTTCCCTAGATATTCATAAAGGATTAAAGACATTATTAATAAGTACTAATGACCACATATCTTAATACTATCATATACTAAATTATTAGCAGTTAATCTATCAAATTTTCCATGTAACTAACATATTGTAAAGGCAAAAAGAAAACAAATTAGGACATAATTTATCATCTTTGAAAGAAGATCATACATACATCTTTCTGATTTTTTTTTCTTCTGTTTCGCTAGGTAGAAAACATATTACAACTCCTCTAACATCAATATCGATATCTCAACTAAATGAAACAACACATGGAAAAACAATGTGCATACCGATAAATGCTGAGAATTTGTTGTTGGTAGCCTGCTTGAATCATTTGATTGGCCAACTCATGGAGCAAAGGCAAAACTCGAGGTGGAATAAGATCTAGAGACTTATAACCTGCATTTTCCGTGCTTTTATTAGTCTGCTCACCAGAAGCTGATGTTGAGTTAGGCCGTAATGTGTTTGGAAGGCAGTCGAAAAGACAGTCTGGTTCAACAGGCTTGCTGAAACAAGGATACATAACCATTAATCACTCACTAACACCAAATTTTTGCATCAAAGTTGATTTTTTTTTATGATGACAAACCTGTTGGACATTAGAATTTGCTTGAACTCGTCTTCTAGTTTAGAAATGGCCTTAGAAAGTAAGTTGTTAACGCGATTTAGAGCATCATCATTACTCTTGAAACTTTTGTTGCTACTAAAAAAAATGACTGTTTTTAACTGATCAATTGCTTCAAGGTAACTTTCTAAATCTTCATGAGGTCCTCTTAAAATTTTTGCCTCAGCCTGCATTTTCAAGATCGAAAAATTAAGCAAACCTCTTTGTTACACCCTTTATTATTATACATATCAATAATTTCCATAGAAAGCATATTGAAAAAATAAAGGCTCCCTCTACTAATAGCATATCACAAATATTATAGCCTTACGACGGGTTTGTATATTATATCACGCAACTCACATTTGGCTCTTGATACCTTGTCAGATGACCAAATTAACCAAAAGTCCTTGACATAAAGGGTGCGTTTTAACATTGTTGTGATGACTATTTGAATAATAGCCGAAACAGTTAATGCATGACCACAACAATTGATGATAGATTAAATTTTAGAAATAATAACTATGAAATGCTATATTGTAGATATTAAACAGATTGTATTGTTTGACGTACTCATTATCAATTTACGTTCATTTCACCTCAAAGTACTTGTGTCAGATAATCAAAGAATAAAGAAAAGAACCTTGCGAGCGAGATCAAATTGAGCGACGACTAATTCGGTAGCATTCAAAGTCTTGTCAATATTTTCATGTGCCCTTCGAATGGAATGGGTTCGAATCTGAGTAGGGCGCATAGCAGTTTCGAGGGAAGATAAGCGATGATCGAAAGAACCCAAAATAGAAACCATGTTATCTGTGATTGTTTGGCTTTTTGAAAGAGATTCCTTCATGAATTTCACCCTTTCTTCTAATGTTTCTTTTGACATTGGCAATGGTGCCCCCATATTTTTTTTCTTGAGATTTTGTTTTCTGCCAATAACTTTATGTTTGTTGGTTTTGTTCACAAAGGTGAACGATAAACTAGGAAAAAAATTTCATTTCATTTTTGAGAAAAAAAAATAATAATAAATTGAAAGGTTTGTTTTATTTTTTATTGAAAAAATTAACATTAATAATCTGAACTATGATGCCAGGTATAAATTTGCCGTTGTCAAAAAAAAAAGATGCCAGGTATAAATGTGCCTTTCCTATTTATAGATCATGCTTCTTGAGTTTTGGTCTAGAATCTTGTATATGTTCTAGCGAGTTTTCACCAAAAAATTTGCAAGCTTTTTGCCCCTCTTTTCAAAATGCTCCAAATAATTCATTGTAGAAGGGTCTAAAACTAAAAACGAACCTCCTAAAACCTTCCACAAGGAGCCATCTAGCTAGGGGTTACTCACTCCCATCGCCCATGCATGCGACTCCGTTATGGTCAAGGATATTTCCCATCAAAGCCTAATGTAACCCATTAAAGCCTTGAACTGCGACTTTATATTCATAAGAAGAGGCTATCCAAGGCATTCCATGTGTTAATATTCATTACATTTTAATCAAAAGTTATCAACCGAATTGATTACAATTACTCTAACATACTTGTACAAAGTAATATAATATATAGATCATTGGACACTAACTTTTATCTTATTTTTGTATACACTATTTGAAGGGTAAACAAAGTATACAAAAAACAGCAATCATAAACTATTAAGCATTTTATGAATTTGAATTGTAAACCGAAATTAAAATTCTTCCAAATCAAGTCATAGTACCATTCTCAACATTATTCCTACGCCATGACTTTACGCATTCCACATGTGGGGACCATCGAAGAGACCTTGTTACATTCGCCGGAGCAACTTTGAATTGACCCCAATCATGAAGGACCCTCCTCAAGTCAGCCACTTTCGCACTAATATACCGGCAACAATTTGAATGGACCGTTACAACGGAACGGACATCCCGACTATCTTGACAAAAACCACTAAAATAACGGGTATCAAGGAATCGCGCCCTGATACCCATTTTTTTAAGTTTGCCTTGCCATATCATTTTTTGTAAGACGTCCTGCTCCTTAAAACCGGTTGAGTTGTCCTTTAACCCGTACCATTTTTCAAACAAAGAGATGGTTTTGTTGTTGGATTTTACAAAATAAAATCCGGTGTTGATTGGGTTGGAACCAAAGGACGAGTTACCATTGAAATTGTCCGTGCTAAATTGTATGTCAAAATGTCGAGTCTTATTTGTGGTTAGGACTGTAAAGGGGTTCCTTAGCCATACCACGTCTGTATCCTGTTACATATAATTGTAAATACATAACAATATATGAATATATGATGGTTAATTCCAAAAATAAGATGGAGATGATACATACTTCAAGCCAAATTAGGAATTATTGAAACTTTCTGTTGAGTGCCATTTTTCCACATGTACATAGTTTTCAATCTTTTCATAGACATTAATGCCTAATTATACGGAATTGCTAATACCGTCAACTTTTATTACGCTAAAAGAATCACCAATTAGAGTAACAGCTTTGATTTTTGTTTAAGACTAAACATTTAATGCTTCTTGAATACTATGGTAATCACTTTGGATCTCACAAGTAACCATAATTAAATATTCTATTTACATGTACCTAACCTATTTCTGTTGTCAGTCCCAAAATGTGATTAATTAAAAAAAATACTTTAACCTTAAGTCCTTAGTTCCTACGTTACATACACCTTTATGGTTTCAATGTTTTGACTTCTTTATTTATATGACCGATTTATTATGGTGTAAGTTATAAGACTTATAGTTATAACTCGTGATATTGTGAGTTTCTGAACCCGTTTAAACTTACACCAACCCGAAAGGTACAACCTGACATGTTTTATATCCACGTAATAGAACATGATGTAAGTTTAGATAAGTTTCAATTGAATAAGATCAAAAAAGTTAAGTTTAATGGTAATTAAAAAAGTTTTAATTTATAACTACTTAAAGTTCTGATATACAGATTTAGGTAAGTTTATGGACCAATATTTTTATGGTAAGTAATTACATTTGAAAAATTTACCATTTTAATTGACAAAGGATGTATCAATTTACAAACAACCAGTTTACTAGTTTAGCCTCCCTTTGTTGAACTTGTGTTTCGTTTTCATTGACATTTAATCTTTTCAAATTATATTCCGTAACTATGTAAAGTACTCCGTTATACATAGGTAAGTTCAGAAAGACTATTATGCACCAACATTTTCATGGTAAGCAATTCACATTTGAAAATTTTGCAATTTTAAATTGACAAAAGTGATTAAAACATCTAGTTCAGCCTCCCCTTTTAACTTGTGTTACGTTTTCGTTGACAGTTTAATCTATTCAAAAATCACGGAAAACCACTTAATTATCCTTCTTAAATTCATAAAAATTAAAAGCTTCTTGTCAAAATCAATAACAAAATAACATCCCAATTCCTAAATTTTATAAATAGAAATCGAAAGTTCCATATAACCACGTAAATAATGTCCACAGTCAAAATATTAAAGAACGCACAACGTACCGTAAAAATAAAGTTGTACCCTTTTTTAAGGATATCAGTGAGAAACAGAGTTCGACTCCACATCATGTTGATGAAATCTTTAGACATGAAAACTTTCTCCCCCATGATATCTACACCGTCCGTTACTAGTCTATAACAATGGAGCCCACGAAACCGACATCGATCGTAAGCCGTCTGATCAACAGCCACAATCATCAGATGGTTCACAAGCTCTCTTGTATTCTCCCCTGCCCAAAACCCTTCTAAGAACAAATCAAGCATATTTGGCACAACTTCACCCTCCACATACGCCTTATTTACAACTGCTATTATTACTGTTTTATTATCCTTCATCGATGCCTTCTCTAGCGCCTCGTCTAGCTCGTCTCTCTGAAAAGGCTGTAATGCTGCCGTCTTTTTTTTAAAAAAAAAAAAAACAATACATGGTCAATAATTATTAATTAACATGAACATGAATTTGACACGACGGAAAATAATATCAATTACCTCGTTCGGACGGGGGAGAGAAGGGCATTGGAGGAATTTGGAGGAGAGGAGGGATTTAGAGGAGAATGAAGAGAGAAAAGAAAGGGAAAAAACTCCAAGAATGAGAAGAAGAATAATGGAAATGTTTTTAATAGAATAAAAAAAAGGGTTTTTGTTGGAATCCATGGTTATTGAGAAATAATTAGAGGGTTTTTCCATTGAAGTTAGAGTTTAAGGAATAAAAGAAGAATTGAAGGGAGCTGAGGAGAGAGAAGGACGGAGTGATGTTCGGGTGGAGAAGTCATGCAGGAAACATGAGTCGTTTATTGGAGATCATAAAAGGTATTGAATCATCATCGAATTAATAATCTCTCTTGTTTTTATATTATTTAGGGGAAAAAATGGGTTAATATGGACTAAGGAGATTGATATGGATTTGGGTTTTTGTTTTTGGGTGGGGACACTAGGTGAACGACTGCGTTATGTATTACACGTAATTGTAATTTAAGTTTTTTTTTTTTTCGGGGATTAAATGAGGATGGAAACATGAATAAGGTTTTAGGCGTCTATAAAATCATATATAACCATGACCGGATTTGAGGTTTAAATTGGCGTTTATTGATGTTGTTTTTTATATTCGGTTTTGAGATTCTTAAAGTGGTATATAACAAATTAATATGATTGTGTTTTAATTTTGGAGAATTAAAACACATGAACAATGTTTATGGCGTCAAGAAAATCATACATAAAGTCATGGCCAAAAAGAAGGTTTTGTATTGCTTTGATATTATTATTTTTTTGTTTATTTTTGAGATTCTCACAGCTTCTAATATGAGTACTACAGATTATCATATGATTATTTCTGTTAAATTAGAGAACGATTGACAAAGAAGTTGAGCTTTTTGTTTGCGTGGTTCCTAGAAATTTGTTTTTTTAAAACTGAATACTCACAATAATCACAAGCCAATACAATACTCGTATCAAACAAGTCATTATAAAGGCAAAAAGGTGTTGTTTGTATAGCAATCAATTATGGAAAGAAATCACAAAGAACTGAAAAAAGGCATGAACATAGAACATTGATTTTTTTGATATGAACCAATCATAATTTGGGATATGAGCCTCATAATAATTCACATTCTTTCTTTTTTATTTTTTATTTTTTTATTTTTTAAATGATATGGAGATATTAATTCTTATTTCCCTCTTCAAGCTACCTTATGTGAGATCCTATCAAATAATTGAATTTATTATCTTTCTTTCATGTTTTTTTTTTTTGCAACTTTGGGATATTTTATGAGTTGTACCCAGTTAATTCCCCGAATAAACAAATTTGTTTATCTGGATGTATAATCGTCTTTTCAAGTAAAACTGGGTGAGTACATGCGTCTTTTCATGTACTAGTTAAATGGTACATGTGTAATTTCCTCACGAAACAATAAATGCAAGTTGCAAACAGTAATTGAACGGCTCACCAAAAGTACGGAATAAATGGCCACACTTTTTCAATATATTTACTGAAATGCCACCATATTAACAAAAATTGGTTTATATGGCAGATAAACTTGTATTTGTCCATATTTTATATCTCATTATTAATTATATCCTAAATATGCAAAAAAATTATAAAATGGAGGTAGTAAAAATATTTTTCACAGGAGATCTTTTTGAAATTCTATGCTAGAGCTATTTGCAATTTTCCCAAGAACAAATCAACAATATTAAATTTCTTAGTACTCTTGGACTTGGAGAAATATATTGTATCCGTACGACATTTCTCTTGTACTGCTACATTTTTTAAATGGTCATGAAAGGTTGGTAATACTCCGTATTAATTAAGCTTAAACATAAAAATAATAAAATAATTTGGCCACTTGGCAAATTTACACTTGACCAGAGCGATATTAGACTAATCTTGAGATTAACTAGTGTCAAAAAATTAAAAGTTTACCAATTAGGAGTACTAGGAACCAAATTTAGGTCCATACTTTTGACTTACAATAGGGTCGGCAAATAATGCTATTTTTATTTTTCTATGCATAAAATGTTTTTATTACTATTTGAGAGTGCCGTAAATTATTAATGGCACACCAAAGTTTGAAATGACCTTTTAAAAGTAATAACTCACAAAACTTACTTGAAAAGTAAAATCAATTATATGTGTGGATCATGACAACCTTAAGATCTTACTACCTCCGTTACAGATTATGTGTAACGATTAGACATTTTTTCTCTATGTTTTATGTCAAATCGTTGCACATGTAACGGAGGTAGTATATATAGTTGTTTCAAAAAATAAAAATAAAATCTTATATATAGAAGGCAATAATCATTGCAATTTGTAATGCTATCTTGAAATAAGCAGATAATAATAAGTTGTTACTTCTTTGTATTCCATCCGTCCTTTAATTAGATTTTCACTTATCTCTAATTCTCTATTATGTAAGGAATAAATGCTAGAAATAGGAATCTAATAAAAGGACGGAGGGAATATTTTTTTTTTACTCCCTTCGTTTCAATATAATAGTCTCATATGAAATCAATCACATAAAATAAGAAAAGGATAAGGAATTAGCGAATAACTATTACTCGTTGAGTCGCTAATTGTATTAGTTTGTATAACTAGTCAATTGTATTATTAGTCGTTTGTTAAGTGTTTGACGTTTGAATGAGCTAGTAGCTACCTTATCTGTGTATGAATGACTAGTAAAACTATTGAAAATTTGGATAGGAATAATCAATTGCTAGAGAAGCTTTGAAAACCCTAGCTTGGCATAAAGTATACACTTAATGAATATAACCAAATTTAATGCAATGTAGGTTTTAGAGACTAGAGAGCAACCTCTTGAGTCTTTTTTTTTTATTATTATTTTTTTTATAAACATGTGTTTAGTGAAAATGAATATGAGACTATGTTAATTTTTTTTTTTTTTTTTTTAAGAAACATCCCTAAACTTTGAAGAAACATCCCTAAACAAGTTATGGTAAACTAAAGGCATGTTCTCATTGACTGAACTCAGCTGAACTAAATTGAACTGAACTGAATTGAGCTAAGTTGAACTGAACTGAGCTGAACTGAACTCAACTCAACTAAACAGAATTGAACTGAACTGAACTGAATTGAGCTGAACTGAACTGAACTGAGCTGAGCTGAACTGAATTGAACTGAATTGAAATGAATATTTCATAAGAGAAGGAAATTAGGAGCTGAACTGAACTGAATTGAATTTCAACGTAAGAGAACAGACCCTAAATAGGACATTTCTTTTGTTGTAAGCAATTACCGTTTAACAAATTCCAGAAGTTTGTGACTTTGTTCTTGCATTATTTGCATGTGAGTATGCGACCAACACTTTTGTTTTTCTTTTTTTTTTTTTTGGCCATTTTTCTTATCATCAAATCAGCATCCTCTCTTTTATTCCAATTGATTTTTTTCATGATGTTCACCTCAAAGTCCTCGTGCTCTTCTTTTCCTCCATTTTAGCACTCAATCTTTCTAGAAGCTCCCACTATTTCATATGGAATTGTGGATCTGCAAAATTCTTTTTCCACCAATCAAATATAGATGTCTCAAATATGTTAAAACCCCCATATAATTCATGACCTTTATATCTCTTCCTCGAAGGTATGTACAACCCACCAAAAACATGATAGCCAAAATTTAATATCCCAACTAATATTGTGTGTCCCAAACGATGTCCCGCGTTGTTAGTTTGTACTTGTTTAATTTACTAATCAAATTCGATTGTTTTGATAATAAAACTTGTTGATTTCAAGTTTAAATCTTGTTATAAACATTTTTTAGATGTCAAACTCAATTATTACATAATGGAAACAAAAAGTATAATAATACGCAAATTAACTTATCAAAGTCAACTACAATTTTGTTGGATAAAAAACACAATTAATAAATGGCTAAAATGATAAGACTCTTAAGTTAAGACTTGTTGATCTTGAGTTAAAAAAGGTGACATGTGGAACATATTCTGTTTTATGAATGTTTTTTAGTATATAAGTATAGATGTATTCACTCTGTCAATGATTCCGAACAATTGCTCTTCTCTTATTCACCCCCCTTAACATCAATTTATGAGGAAAAAGCTAAGCAACCACTTAAATAAAACCAATAATTAATAGACAATTAACACCCCTTCCCACCTCAAAAACAATCCTAAATACATAAATTCCAAACCAAACATAGAGAAAATATCATTGATTTAACTTAATTGTACTTCAACACTTCAACTAACCACATTAACTCTAACTTTGGATTGAGGAGTTGATTTTCTCAATAATTGACTAAACAAGCTTATATCTACAAAAATTAGATGAAAATAGATCAGAGAAATTGACAAGAAAATAAGAATTTGAAAATTAGCATAAAAAGAGAGATAAAAATACAATTACGTCTCTTCTCAATAAAAAAAAAAAAAAAAAAAAAAAAAAAAAAAAAAACAATCACATCTCCTCTTGAATAATGAGGCTTATTTAAATGAGCAAATATAGAGGAAATAATTTTAAAAAAAACTACAACTACACTTCCCTTCTTACTTCATATTATCATTGATTTTTAAAAAGAGTGAAAATATATTTGTTGTAAAATATAGAGTTAGGGCATGTTCACTTCAACTTAATTTCAGTTCACTTCAACTCTAATCAGTTCACTTTTAATCAGTTCAGTTTAGCTCCTAATTTCCTTCTCTCATAAAATATTCATTTCAGCTCTATTCAGTCCAGTTCAGTTCAGCTCCAATTAGTTGAGTTTTGCCCAGTTCAATTCAGCAAATGTGAACAGGTCCTTAATCAACTAATTTAATGTCAAACAACACTATCTTCCATGAACATCAACAATACCATCCTTTTTAATTTCAATAAGAATAATTGATCTAGATCCTCTTTGCAATTGATGATTAAACCATTTACAAGTATCATTTCTTTTATTTATCTTTCTCTTAGAGATCTATTGCGATTTATATAGATCCTCTTTTGCAATTGATGATTAAACCATTTACAAGTATCATTTCTTTTATTTATCTTTTTCTTAGAGATTTATTGCAATTTATAAAGAATTGAATCAAAAAAATTGCGGAACTAAACTTTTCTAGCTTACAATTGATTTGAGTAGAAAGAAGAGTTTTTTGTTAAAGTTTTTTTTGACAACTTAGGGTTTGTTCTTATACGTTTATTTTCAGTTCAGTTCAACTAGTTTAGTTCAGCTCATTTCAGTTCAGTTCAACTCCTAATTTCATTCTCTTATAAAATATTCAGTTCAGCTCACTTCAATTCAGTTCAGTTCAGCTCAGCTCAGTTCAGTTCAGTTCAATTCAGCTGATTTCAGTCTATTAGAACAGACCCTTATTATAGTTGCAAAGTGTAATGCTCCTTTCTATCCTTTATTAAATTGACACGACAATTACCTTAAAATACTAAATATGAATTTCTTATATGCCATGATTATTCCTATAGTATTTCCTACCAATATCAATATGTTATTGACAAGATACAACCAATTATACTGTGCTATATTGCTGATATATAAACAAAAAATCACGTATATTCACTCATAAACAAAAAATCACCTCAAAAACATTAAGGGATCGTTTGGTTGGGGGTAATCAGGAAAGGGAATGAGAATCAACTGGTCCGATTCCCTTTGTTGATGTTTGTTTAGCACTTTCTTTCATTCCCTTTCCCCTCTTCATTACCCCAAATCCCTCTAAGTTCATTTTCCACCCCCTACACTTTTCCATTCCCATTCCATAGCCACCACCACATCACCACCTTCCTACCTCCACACACCACCGAGAAACCCAACCTCCGCACCATCCACGATTCGCCGCCTCTCCGACGACCCTTGTCGCCTATCCCCCTCCCCATAAAATTCTCTTCTTCTCACGCAAAAACATCCCCAACCCCTAGAAATCCCTCCTCTCCCCTGCTAGGGTTTCGAGGGTAGGGGAGGATCGGACGGTGGTTTTGCGGGGAGAGGGAAGGATTTCTAGGGGTTGGGATGTTTCTAGGGTTTTTCTGGCCTGAGTTGATTTTTGTGGAAGAGAGAGCTGCGCGAGGCTGGAGAAGGGCGGCGAAGGTGCTGCGAAGGGCGGCGAAGGTGAGGCGATCGACGGTGGAGGTGCGGATGGTGGTTTGGTGGACGGATGGTGACTAGAAAAAGGTGGAAAGTGAATGAATTAGGTGGTTGTGTGGTGGTTGTGGGATGGTTGTGTGGTGGTGGGATGATGGAATTGTTTTCCTTTGTTTTAAAAACAAACAACATAGTGAATATTGGGTATTTTCATTCCAGTCTCTTCCATTCCCTTTGTCCATTTCATTCCGTTTACCCCGGGTGAACCAAACGACCCCTATTATGAATTTCTTATATGCCATGATTTATTTATTTATTTTTTTTCTTTTCAAAACAAAGAAAAACAAAAAACGGGTAAAAATAAAACAGAAAGACGCTTTGCAAAGGGAGGAGAGAGAAAAAAGAAGGCGAAGCAATGGCGTCGAAAGTAGAATCACCGCCATATCCCAGTGCTGCTAAAATATCCGATTCTTCATGCTTCCCTCAATACACTGCTTCCCTTAAGTGTAAGATTTTACCTTTTTATCCTAATTTAGTAATTTCTATTTTCTAGTTGCGTTTGTTTTTTTGTCAATCCCTAGTTCATGGCAAAATTGGGTATTTTATTCAATTTCTGGGCATTAATTTTTTTTAACTAATTTTATGAAATCATCGATTTTTGCGTATTTAGCTTATTAAGGGTTTTAATGAGTAAGACTTCGATAGAAAATTGATCATTTGATGATTTCCCTGTTTTATCTGAGATACCCTTGTAAGTTAATGTTCATGATATTGTGAATAGATTTTACTTTCCATTTATGTAGTTTAAATGATGAAATTGACGAAATTTGTGGGATTTAGCTTGTGATTATAGTTTGAGATTTTGGGTTAGATCAAGTTGTTAAATTTGTCTTCTTAATGAATAGGTTTGGAGCAAAATAACTCAGAAAAGAGCAAATGTCAAGAATTCTTTGATGATTACAAGGAATGCAAGAAGAAGGAGGTAATCAATATTAACACCCATAATTTTATTTTGTTTTGTTTACTAATTATGTGTATTTATTTTACTTATACAAAAAGAAAAGTAATTAGTTGAAACAACTGATAGTTATCCTTTTAGGGTAATGTCTAAGAATAAGGTTAAGCATCATAATGTGAAGGCTGATTGGTGAAAAATGCATATTGTATGTAATGAACATTGAATTGTTGCTAAATCTGTTTTCTTCTTGAGATTATCTTGGTGCATTTTCTTAAATTGGAGAATTTTGGTGAATCTGCCTTCGAAATTGAGACTTATAAGGCGGTTGTGGCAGAAATGGATAAATTTTTGGTGAACCTTTTATGTGATTGAAGTTTCCTTGTAGAATTGGGGAAATTTGTTTGTACTTCAGTTCTCCAAATAGTAGATAAGTTCAACGATGCATTATCCTAGCGAAGACGACTTGCCATTGTTTGTGGCCATGTCTATTTCATTGAACTTATCCTAGTAGCTGCATTAATATAGGAAAGTCTATTTGAAAGTGGATAGAGAAATTGATGAAAATAAGAGGTATTAAAATGGATTTCTTTAGTCACTGTATTGTATTGGGTGATCGCATTTAATTCCATTTTTGTTCAATGTGCATTTTGACATGGTTTGACACTGCTCAAGCTTCAATGCTTATAATGTGCTTTTTTTTTTTTTTTTTTTGCAGAGAGAAGCACGACTGGAACGCAACCGACACCGCTCTCTCTTCTCATAATTCCCTAGGACAGGCTGCTTTGAAAAGGTTCTACTTTGATAAAGAAAAATTGAGATAGATTTTTTGCTTTGAAGTGCACTTTGATTCTGAAATAATACGAGTATTTCATTAGCTTGGAAAAGCTCTGTCTTATGCTGAGTTACTTGTATATGTATGCACTCCTACAGCTTACTCCCTTAGACTTGGGCATTTGCCCTTTATTTCGAAACGTTAGGACCACATGGATTTTGTTGTGTCGATTAAGAATCTTCCTTTCATGATACTTATACTAATTTACTGCAAATTTTGAATGTTTCACTCAATATGATGATCAGTGGTTTGCTGAAACATGGACATTCTGTTGCAGTGACTTTTATAAATTGGGAAGAAGTTGGCTAGCCTCATAGCAAAATACAGATGCCCTAATCAATTGATGTTTTAAATTTTTTTCTTATTTATTGTGTAATATAGTATATAGCTCCACGTTCAGGATTAAGGATCTATGAACGTAACCTCTTTGCTGTTGTAGGGTTGAAACTGTGCAAGTATGAGCCTTTAAATGGCTATATCCCAATATGCGGGATTCTCTTAGTAGGCACTTTCTGTGTAAAAAAAAAGGGGGAATTATATTATTGTTGTACTCAAAGAATACAATTCTTTCCCTTTGTAGGAGTTTAATTTCATGTTCAGGTTGAGTAAAACTCCTTCAGGTTCAGGAACCAGTTTTAGTTACAGTACTTCACTGATATTCTGACGAAAAGTGAAAATGTGAGACAAGATCACTCAAATTCTAAGTAGTAATGTCAGTAAACTAGTAAAGTTTGAAAAATAAACCACTTTTACATTCCTTTGATCAAGTAGTAATGTCAGTAAACTAGTAAAGTTTGAAAAACAAACCACTTTTACATTCCTTTGATCAACAGGATTCCAAGTCCTTGTCCTTTCTCCCCAAACTTCAAGTACCTCAGCTCAATCTCAAGTTGAAGCCTGCCATAAACATCAAGTACTACGCTGCTGTGTTAGCAGATGTTTCATGACCGGGCAAAATCTGTGGTACTCATTATCAAGTTTTCTTGATCAAATTTCAGGGCAAGGTCTTCCTTATTGATGCTTCTGATCTTATCGCCTTTACAAGTTTTTCTTGTAAAAAGCCATCTCTATCATCCTTGTTCTTTCCAAGTTTCCATAGCAGCACGTAACATACAGTATATTCATAATATCCGAATGCTCATTCCACACCACAATCCACAATAAACGTCATAGTCCCACCATGATATGATAAGATATTCGATTACTTAACGAAGAATTTGGGGAAAGATGAACAACTTTTGTTTGTGACAGTTACAACTTCAAGTTTCTTTGGGACATTGTACAGTAGAATTCACATTTTTGCAAGTACACGGTATATTCATTATATCCTCAGTTGAGAAAACAAGATTGTTCAGTCTTAATTTCATACTTCCTAGTTCCTACTACACTAATTCAGAGTCTTTCTTCAAAAAAAAAAAAAAAAAAAAATTACTTTTCACTGATCAAAAAATTAGAACAGGCCAATAATTGAGTTTTGGAGGATTAGTTGCGTTAAATTCATAGAGAGAAATAACTAGTCAGAAACCCAGAACAACCAAATTGAAACATATCAACATAAAAAGAACAATCTTTTTGAAACAAAGGGTGTGACTATTGTTATTGAAATGTACACAAATTCATGATGTAAACTTTGTGCTTATGGAGTGTTTGGGGTAGACTCCGTTAATTGCTAAGGTTATTTTTTCTCACTGATTATAATGAAAAATCAGTAGCTAATAGCGAACTATGGCTTTCGCCTACACCATGGCTAAAATCTAGCATCCAAAGAAGCTGAGTGAATGCCGAGTTTACAAAACCTGAACCAATTAAGCCCTGCTTAGGAGGAGTTTAATTCCATGCTCAGGATCTATTACTAGCCTAAATGCAGGGCTGTGCTGATAACCTGGTGAAATCGAAAAGCTAAACTTGGACAAGATGAGGGATAAGATCACTTTGAGCTCCATCATGGCGAAATTTTGGCCAAGACATACACGAGCTCCATACCCAAAAGGTATGTAAGCTTGCGGGACTTTGCATGCTGCTGCAATTCCATTTGCAAATCTTTCAGGGTGAAATTCTTTCGCGTCTGCTCCCCATAAATCTGGATTCTGGTGCAACATAGCTATTGGAACTTGAATGTCGAGTCCTTTTGGAACTCGAATGTCTTTTAGACTGGCATCTTGTAGTGCTGTTCTTACAGAAAATACTGCTGGTGGGTAGAGACGAAGCGTCTCTTGGATAATCATTGTCAACTGCCAAAAGAAAGTACAGGGTTACAAATAAGAGTAATAGAGCATAAAAAAAATACACATACAGTGCTCAAAAAAACTTGTATAGTTGGCCTAAAACTTAACAAATATCATCAATAATTACTTCTTTATCATAGCTAATGTTTCTGAAGCTTACTCCATATTCGATAATAGTACAGTACAATAGTGAATAGTCTAAAGTTTGATTCCATGTCAGGATTTGGCACTCGAATCACCATTTAAGATCCAAGCACCATAATATTCAGAATTCATCAAGTCAAAACAGAAATACTAGTAACACTAACAGTGTATTAACCAGTAATACGATATACCAAACTAGAGATTAGAATCTCAACCTCCACATACACCCTCTTCCTATAGTAGATGAAGTTGGCAAATGACACTTTAGAGGAGCATTTTTGTGAAATCAAGAGTGTAATCTATTAATGAAATGACAGTCGTATTGATAAAATAATGTATACATACCACTTTCATATGTCTCAGACTGTCAGCAGTTATAATTTCATCTCTGCAAGCTTCAAGTGCCTCAGCTCGAGCCCGAGTCTGCCAATCAGGGTGCACAGCCAGTAACATTAAGCTCCATGCTGCTGTAGCAGCAGTTGTTTCCTGACCAGCAAAATATATATTCTTGCAATTGTCTACGATGAGCTTCTCATGGCTCTTATCATCCATTTTGAAGGGAACGTCATTCTGTTCACCACATTTTCTAGCACCTTCAAGTATCTTTTGTAAGAAGTCTGTCTCACGTTCAGCTCCCATTCGTTCTTTGACAACCCTTAATATCATTGAATCGATTTCTTTCTCTAGTCTATTTATCTCCCGATTGGTCTTGGTTGGCATATACCTGCATATATATATATATATATATATAATACAACGATCAAGTTTCATCTACTTATCGAGCTTTTATTGTGATAAGATCAGTATTTACCTTGAAAAGGGAATCCCAACATACAGATTTTTACTCATTAGCTTTTGAAGCTTCCTTAGCTTTGAAAATATGTCTTTCCCCTTAGAGTAGCTGCTCCCAAATGCAGTTTTTGAAATTATATCAGCTGACAAACTTTTCATGTCTTCATCAATCGCAATCTCTGCTGTTCCACCACTTTTGCTTACTCTATCTTCCCAGGAACTCAACATCGTGGTTGTCGCATCCACCATCAAACCAAACACTCCCTGCACATATTTCATGTCAGTCAAGCTTGCTTGAACACAACTCAAGCAGTTATGATAACGCTTAATTGTATAGAGCCCTTGTCGCGCCAAAGAAGATAAGCTAAACTGATAAACCCTCTAACTTAACTTTCTCAGGGAAAAATTCAGGAGAAATGAGTTTCCTTTGATAAGACCAAAAGGAACCACTAGAGGAGATAACACCTTGACCAAGCAAAGGACCGCGATCCTTTGACAAATACGAAGGCTTTCCTAAATCCACAGAGCTATATTGGACAATGTCCTTCACAACATTAGGGTCTGTTACGCACAACATCTGCATCCTTCCAGTTGTATATGTGAACACTGGTCCTGCTCCACCAAATTCATTGTTCCAAGTTACCCAAAGTAAAAGAGAGGCACAAATCAAAAGATATCAGTTGTTTGCATTGTAAATTTGTAATTAACATAGTACATATAGTAATCAATCATGTGGTTTTCACATTTTATGAACATTTTCGGGTTTAGGCCTCAACCATAAGCTTAAGCTTAGTATTTTATAAGTCAAAACGTGTCAATTAAAAAATATAACGAAGAAGTTATTATATACATGTATGGACTCGTACAAAAAAACATGTTTATTCATAGTAAATTCACCATAAAGTCCAACCAAACCAATGTTAAACCCATTAATCATAACAATCAAAGGTATTTTGTCCAAAATAGTCATAACAATCTCATTCTATTACTATTAATACGATGATTCTTGGTTCGGTAAAGCCAAAACAAGACGGGTCAAGTTTGACACTTTATTTTTCAGGGTTATCAAACACAATAAACAAATTCATGTATACATTATCAAAAATCTTCATCTCAAAAAAAAAAAAAAAAAAAAAAAAAAAAAAAAAAATCAAACATATATACATTCATGTAAAGTAAAACCAACCAAAATCACCAAAAACATGAAATAAAAATGCAAATTAAGAGATAGAAAATAAGGGTGTTACCGTATAAAGATTGCCATTTATAAAGGTGAGGAAATAACATCAAAGGCCAATCATGATTAACTTGAATATCACATGAATTAGCATAAGATGGTAAATTAATTTGAGATTTAATTTGGGTAATTAGTGGGATATTACCCAACAAAATAGAACAAGGTGGTGGACCTCTAATTCCTTGATTTTGCAACTTCAACCTTAATAATTTAGGCTGCAAGACTAGCTTAACATAGATGTAACCAATTAACACTATAATTACCCCAATTATTGCTGACATAAAAACTTCCATTATTTTTTTTTTTTTTTTTTTTTTTTTTTGTGTGTGTTTAATTTTTACCCAGAAAACTAATAAAAGTAGCTATTACTCTGGTTTTATCTTTATAAATAAACTGATTATATAGACAGAGCCAAATGCAGTTTTAAATTAAATATACTGTGGTTTTCTTTACATTGGTTTTTGTTTTTGTGTGGGAGAATCTTAGCCTTACACGTGCTCCATTGTTTTCGATTCAGGTTCTTTCTAACTTATTTTAATCATATTTTTTACAGGGTCACATTTTATCATGATATATTATATTAAGTGTTAGTAATACTTTGTATAAAGTAGTACATTGGTACTATTTTTGCTGAATTAAGGGTTTAATTTGCTGAGTTATTTACATTTGGCAATTTATAAGGGTATTACAGTTATATCAAAAGGACAGCACAGCCTGATTACCTTAGGTTATTATACAGATTATAATCTTTTAATACCTTTTCAATAATAAGTATTTAGAGTAATAATCATTCAATACTATCTTTATGATGAAAAATGTTAGGTAATAAAAATCAAACTGTGCAAATTATACAGGGATTATTACCATTTTATCCAGACTTTATCCATTGATAAGATTTGATAATTGAAATACTTGGACATGCATCTATGCTTTTATATTTCTTTTATGAAGTTGTTGGACACCTGTTATAAGTCTAATAATATTTGTTTATTTCAATAAATAACTAAGTAATCCAATTAATTAAGGGTCTGTTCTAATACGTTTATTTTCAATTCAGTTCACCTCAGCTGAATTCAATCTATGAAAACAGGCTCTAAATAGCAAATTAGAGCATAGGATTGAAAAAAAAAAAAAAAAAAAAAAAAAAACTAGAATTTATAAAAACAATTCAATAGAACGAAGAGAATATGAAGCATTATCACTTGATAGAAACTATCCAACGGCCTAAAGCCTACAATTGTATAATCACTGCCACATAAATTGCCTTCTTGGATTAAAATAATTTTTTTCTTTTACTCGTAATAAGTTAATATTAGTTTAAACTACATATAAGCTAAGTTTATGTAAGTTCAGCTAGAAGAAACAAGGGCGGAGCCAGGGGGGCTGGGGTGGGCCATCAGGCCATGGCCTCCCCCTTGGCTCAAAATAAATATTAAATTTTGCATACAATTAATATAAGCTTTAGTGTAGAGGAGTTGGTTTTTGCCATATAATAGTAAACAAGAGGGGTAAAGAGTTCAAATCTTACAACAACATATTCAAATCTTGGCCCCCCTCATTTAAAAATTCTGCTTCCGCCACTGAGAAGAAAAATCAAAAGATTAGAATTCACCTCTAATTAATGACTAATTATCTCTTCTTCTAACACCTTTTAATGTGTTTCAACAAAAGCATGCTCATGTTTATCAAGTGTGACAATACTTTGTAGGTGTTAACTAGGAAGCTAGCATGCCTAGCAAGATTTTATTTAAATCAACTACACATATTATTTGTTAAATTGTTAACAAAGATAAGTAGCTATAAGGTGACACTTGTCTGATTGACAAACCAATGGTTTTGTGAGACAAACCCAAAATAAGGAAAGTCTAGCCTATAAAAATGGTACAATAAACATATGACATATTATCTAAACTCTTAATGATTTCATCCAAATACTTAACCATGTCATCCAGGCAATTAATCACATCAAATCAAACGATCTATATAGTTAAAGATATCCTCCAAGTAATTATCCATATCATTCAAAGAATTAAAAATAATAAAATTGTAATAGCCGGTAAAATAATCAAGTAAATAAGAAACCCTAAGTGGCTAAATCAAATAAAAAAATTAATTTGAAAAAACAAAACTTTTGAAAATCCTAGATTACAAAAGAAAATAGAGTAAAATTACCATCAACGAAATCATATTTTCGATAATCGGCACAGTTTATTTCCTGAATTCAAATACGTAAGAGAATTCCCATATTCGCTACCAACAAAACCTTGGGATTCCCGACTTAAACACTAATTTAACACAAAGTTGTTGCCTCAATCGACAAATTGATCTAATGTTAAATGTGAGGAATTTGATCGGCAATTTCATGATGATATTGGTAATTAACGAGATAGTCGTACACTCGTACGGTACGGTAGTCATACCATTTATAGATTGATTTTTCTCTCTCCTTAATTATCAATTATTCGTGTACTGGGTGGAGTAGATTGGAGATTTGGAGGGGAGATTATGAGAGAGTGCAGTAGGAGTGTTTCGAGATTAACAATTGTTTGAATGAACTGATGAAGGCCATGTAACCGATGGTTGGGTGCCTCACCCAATATTTTGTGTAATGAAAAATCGTAAGAAAATAATCTATACAAATGATACTTATTGTGTGGCTGCTTATAAAAACATAAACTTAAATTAAGAGAACAAACATACATTTAATTGTTAAATCTTTTGGCTTATGCCTTTTACGTGTTTTAAAATCCACTCCGTTAAAAAGAATTTCAGTACAATGATACCATAAGGAGTATATGACAAGTTTTGGAATAAAATACAAATAAAACTATATTTTATTTGTATTTTATCCACTCAAAAATTGTGAAGCGGCAACGGATCCACTCAAAAAGTTGTATGAGACAACGAACCGAGAATGTGTCGAATTGTTATATTTATGTATTTGGATTCTTAGTCCTTCCCCGATTAATTCTTGTTTGATTTTGTTAAATTCGTTTTCATTATCGTTAACTGTCAATTGTAGATGTCGTATGGCTATTATTAATGAAATTTAATGTCTGACTTCTTTAAAAAAAAAAAAAATTAGATTTTCAATAAATGATTGATTATGTAACTAATTAATAAGTAGTGTATGTCTTTTAATAATCTCCATTCTATTAAACTATTAAATATATAACTCAAAATACGCTTCAAATTAAAGATTTATACATTTATCGATTATCACAATTCTCACACATACATAACCTTTTTTAAAATGAATATGTAAGGAAAACAACAATACATACACAATTACTCCACTTTTATTTGTATTTTTCTTTTTTTTTTGGATGATTTTAGCAACTAATATATAAGCAAAATTATTATTTACAAAAATTATCTCAATTACACCCTACTCATATGATTATATGAACATAATAACTCGCATTCAACTCTCCACTTAACACGAATCATTGGCCTTATATGCGGTGCGCATCACACAGTCACAGACAAATAATATAAACTAGAATCGATTTCAATTTTGTACATACTATATCAAATCTTAACCAACCAACAATCGTAATTAACATCTTTATGTATTAATGTATTATCTATAATTTTTAAGTGGTTGAACCATCAATTAATGATGTGATCTAAATGTATGAAATTTGACATTTACTACCAGCAAAAACACCCTATATCACATTTGCTACCCGTTTAAAAAAATATTTTATTTTACTACCACCTAAAATCACATAATTATAATTTCACTACCACTTAACGGAATCTGTTAAGATTCCGTTAAGTTTATTAAAAAAAAAAATTAAACAAAGTAACCCAGCCACCCCCTCCACCTCGACTGCCGCCCCCTCCCCCTCCCCCCTACCAGCGGCCAGCGCCCAGGGCTTCGGCCGGCGCCGGCGCGAACCTTCCCCCTCCTTTCCCCCACCATACGCAGCCAACCTCCATCGGAAACCACCTTTTCCCCCTGCCCTGATCCCCACCGAAAACCACCTTTTTTCCCCTCTCTCCACCAAAATCGGCCCCTTCCCCGTAATTGCTACACTGAAATCGACCCCCTCCCCTCCCCTTCCCCTCGTTGGCCATCCCAAACCCTAAACCACCACCCCAAAACCACCACAAGCGAAACCCTAAAATTCGTTTAGGGCGGTTTGGGGCTGGTGGTTTAGAATTAGGGATGGCCGAAAGGGAAGGGGAGGGGGTCGATTTCAGTGTGGGGAATAGGAGAGGGGGCGATTTCCGGTGTGGGAAAGGGAAAGGGAGTGGTTTCCGGTACGGGGTGGGGGTCGGGGCAGCAACAACGGGAAAAGGGAGGGGGGTTGTCTGCGTAGGTGGGGGAAATGGAGGGAGTGGGGTCGCAGCCGGCAGGGGGGATGTGGTGGGGCCGCGTCGGCGCCGGCAGGGGGAGGGGGTGCAGTCGAGGGGACGGGTGGCAGGGGGGAGGGGGTGCAGTGAAGTGGAGGGGTGGCTGCAAGGTAGTTACACCCAATTAGCCATTGTTGTGGGCCCCTCAAACAGAAACAGTAACGGGGTTAGTCACTGGTAGTTATTTCTATAGTTAGGGAATTATGGTGGTAGTAATATAAAATATTTTTTTTTAACAGGTAGTAAATCTGATATGTGGTGCTTTTGCTGGTAGTAAATGTGAATTTTTCCAAATTTTTATGTAAATGTCAAAAAAAAAAAAAAAGGATTGAAAAAAAAAATTGAGATTAGTCCAATAGATTTGAAAAGAATGGAAAATTAAAGGAAAGAGAGTAAAAGAGCAAAGGCAACAACAACAAAAGAGGAGTTTGGATTGCGCTCTCATCATCATCGTCACCTTCTTCTTCATCATAATAATAATCATCAACCCTTCAAATTTTCCCCAGATTTTTTCACCCCCAATTTCTTCAACAATGCCCTAATTTCTCAAAACTCCCCAAAAAATCAAAATCATGTCCACCATTTTCAATTCCTAAGCTCAAATCCCTCTTTCTCTCTCCTATACTCCAATTTCAAATTCGAATTTTGGGGGCCAAAATCATGCATAGAGAAAGAGGTAACGTCGGAGGTGGGTCGTCGGAAATCGGAACTATTGATCGGAAACGTATCAATGATGTGTTGGATAAGCATCTCGATCGAAGCTCAGCTTCAACTTCGAGGGGATTGAGCACTAACCCTAAGGATAAAGAATTTAGGGTTTCTGCGCCTTCGACTTCCACCGGAAAAACGCCGTCTGATTACTCTGGGTTGAATAATTCCAATAATCGCTCTGATGGTTGGTAACACTTTTTAAATTTAGCTCCAAAAATTTTGATTTGGGGGTGAATTTTTGTTGCATGTGTGTGTTTGGTTGTGAATTTTTGCTCAGTTTGGGAATTAGGGTTCTTGTAGTGTAATTTTGTTGTTTATTTCTGTGAATTTGAGCTATAATTTGAGCTTTTTCAGCACTTGAGCTTAGTTACTTTGAAGCTGCAATTTGGTGTATTATTGCTTTCGAATTTGATTGATAATTATTGATGTTAGTTATATTTGATGAAGATTGATTAATGGGAATCAGGCAGGTTTAGTAATTTGTTTAATTGGGCTGACATGAGGTAGTGGAGTGTATGCTTTGTGTTATATAAACCCTACAAAAGTATGTGTACATTAGTTTGTAATTGGAGTAGTGAAATTGGAATTGTTTCATTTTGTACTTATATAAGATGTTATGAATTAAGGAGATGAGATTTCTTGGATGTACCTCGCAAGTAGTTGTAGCTGATTGTCGAGAACGAGGAAGGTATTCCCTTTATTTTTTAAATGATTTAGTGGAGTGTGTGACTCATTTGGGTTGGATAGCTCCAAATGAGCTAAGATAAGCCTCATTGAGCAGCATAATAGAGTTGGGACTTGGGAGAATTGGGGCATGGGCACCTAGCCACCTAGGGTTATGTGCATGGTGGGCGTTCTGCACTTTAGCACTGTGAATTTTATGTTCCCTCATTATACTTGATAGAATTTGATTTCTAAGAAAAGAATTAGACCTTTAACCTATTTCTTATTCTCAATGTCCATTTAATGAAGGTTGATCCTTTCAATCTGACTAATGTGCAATAACTCATTATCTCCTATAGTCACATGCTCAACATCCGTAGCATGTTGATGATTGAAGATGCTTTTGGCCATCTATTTAATCTCTTCAGTATCTATTTAAATTAATCTACTACCTCCGTTTCATATTATTTGCATACTATTTTTTCTCTCTACTTTATGTCAAATCGTTGCAAATAATATGAAACAGAGGTAGTATATACACACTGCACTACTGCAGTAATGCACACTTAATTAACTTTGGGATAACTGTAGGGAAGACAGCTTATTCAGAATTTGGCCCTGAAGCTGTATTATGTTTTGCTTTTAAGTACGCTTCAGGACAAGCATAAAGATTCTTCAATTAATTTTACTCTGTTTACTTTTAGTGCAAACATCGATGCATTAGGCTGCTGCAGTCCATGTATAACAGGATTGCATCTCATATGTGCAAAGTGCAAATAAACCTATTGAGCTTTAAAATCCCACAGGTTATTACTGGCTGCTGTCCAACTTGTAATATGTAAATGTTTTCATTTTATTTTATCTCTTAGTAATATGATTATGGAAAATACTGGATTGCCATACAAGTTATATTTCCTACTGCTGTCGGAACTCAGAAGTCTCTCCGCACCCCCATAAGGGTACTATAAGTATACAGTGAACTACCTGCAGTCCCCTGCACACTCTGCACGTGTGTATTAGCTAGCTTAACCTTTAACTTCTTGATAAGCCCTAAATTTGAGTTTGAAGGCCATCATATTTACTTCCTGGTCTAGTCTTTTTTTTTTTAAAAAAAAAAAAAAAAAAAAAAAATAAAATAAAAATAATCTATGGTGATCCTTTTCTTTCTTTGTTTCCTGATATTCCGATTCTAGTTCTAGCTTGTTTTTCACATTGATGAAGTTTTATTATTTGTTTGATCTGATTATGTCCATCTTGTGGATAGATATGGAATCAGGATTATGTGCTTGAAATTATATCTTCTGATTATTCACATTTTTCTTCGTTGTAGAGGAGTCTGAAACTGACAGTGAAGAGTCGGATGTTAGTGGTTCTGATGGTGAGGATACATCATGGATTTCATGGTTTTGCAATTTGCGAGGGAATGAATTTTTCTGTGAGGTTGATGACGATTACATCCAAGATGACTTCAATCTTTGTGGATTAAGCAGCCAAGTTCCTTATTATGATTATGCTCTTGACCTCATTTTGGATGTTGAATCTTCTCATGGTATGTGTCACCCTCTTTTTCTTCCCCCCCCCCCCCCCCCCTTTTGGGTGTTTTTCCAGAAGCTTATCCATTTCAATGCTTGGTGCTGCATGTCTTTTATGATATCTCCATGCGACTCTACTCACTTGCCTAAAAGAATAGTTCTTGCCTTAGCAATAAGGAACACTGTTCTATAATTCTATTGATGCAAATCTTTATTGCTTATATGCATGTTTTGTTTAGTAATTATTTTTCCTTAGTAGCTATTTCCCGAGACATTAAAAGCCATCTGTGTAAGCATGAGAATTTGAATAGTAGCAAAATTAAGCTCAAACCGCATCTTTCAGTTGTTTGAGTGATCAGTGACCCAAGACAGAGTTCAGTGACCCAAGACAGAGTGATGTTCTTCAAAGACCCTTTTTTATGTTCTGCTTTTTGGAAGAGGTGATTTATTTCAGTTATTTGTCTTTATAAATTGCTACTAGCCCCCGTTATTATAGAAATATATTCACTTTGGTTTAGTGACCACAATGTGTCAAGCAGCCCAACATAAAATTTTACCATTGGGTGGTGGCCTGCCTTCCTGGGCCTATCTCACTGTACAGAACATGCAGCAAATATTGTTATTATGAAATTTCTTCTACAAGAAAATGTGTGTCGATCTATGATAATGTGATGCAAGGAACTAGGAAAATCATTCTTGGTGAGCACCACCAGTGTATAAAAAAGCTCAAGGTGCGCTTAAGTGAGGGGGGTTTTGCTGCATCTCTTTGAAGTGAGGCCCACTATGTGAACAATTAAAAAAAAATGGTTAAAGTTTGCTCCAGATGTGCCTCATGCTTTTGGTGTGCCTCAATGCCTCATGTGCCTAATAACAAACGCCTCGCCCAGACCAAGTTAAGCGCTTACCCCATAGCACCTAGGCGCGCTTTTTCAAACACTGAGCACCACTATAACTTTCCTGTCAACTTTATGCTAAGAAAGTGAATTTACATGCGTGAATGGTTTATTATTATTATTATTATTATTATTGGGATACATGTGTCATGTGTAGCAATTGTTTAGGTCTATTTCTAGGTAGATCTTTGTCCTGGAACAATTTAAATATCCACCCCTTTTCCCATAGCTTTTGAATCCCTTGGGCCACTTACTTCCCTTGGAGAAGGGGGAGAAGGTTTATCATGATTGGCACTCTTTTGATGAAAACCATCATTTAGAGACAATTTTTTGTCTAAGCTCTGCCACTTTATAGAGTCAAATATACTGCATGGGTTCTGTCCTTAATGTTTTGTGTCTAGTCTGAAGGATGCTTTAAGCTCAATTGGCTCCTCTGTGATTTGCTCCTGATCATCTTGATCAGTATCCCTGTGACATCTTCTAGGTGATATGTTTACGGAGGAGCAGAATGAGTTGATAGAATCTGCAGCAGAAATGCTTTATGGCCTTATTCATGTTCGATACATCTTGACTACTAAAGGAATGGCTGCTATGGTAAGATGTTTCTTCTCTGTTAGGTTGTTCCACTGCCATTATCTTCCTTTTGAAGGATACCATTGTAATCTATTTATGTGAATTATTGTGCAATCTTCTACAGCTAGAGAAATACAAAAACTATGATTTTGGGCGATGTCCTAGGGTTTACTGCTCTGGGCAGCCTTGCCTTCCTGTTGGCCAATCTGACATTCCACGATCAAGCACCGTGAAGATCTATTGTCCAAAATGTGAAGACATCTATTATCCGCGATCCAAATACCAAGGCAGTATCCTTAATAGAGTTCTATCTAGATATGTCTTCCCTGTGTCGTATTTGACTGTGTTAGTTTGCAATACTTGCCTTGACTTTTCTGTCCAACTAGTTCTGTGAAATATAGCCAATATCCTTCATTGAGGGGAGGAACTTCGGGAAAGGGGGGGGGGGTCCAATAATTGTTTTGTTGACACTGACTGCCTGTGAATGACCTAATATGTTTGTCTTTTAAACATATGTGACTATGTGAGTCATCTTTCTTTTACCTCTTTCCAAATTTCATAACCTTAAATTATAAAATAACGCATGTTGAGTGTACATGGATTATTATTTTGTTAATTAGCCTCTTTCTGTTACGGAGAATATGAAAATCAGGTGCCTTCTAATTTGAATGCACCTTGCTTCATTATAAGTGTTTGCACACTTTATTGGCAGACATGACATGACAGGATTGGAATTCGGACTGATCAACAACTAGAATCCTATTCTTGACTAGTTCTCTTTGGATTGCAACTTATTTCTGGAACTTAACTTCAATTTATCAGTTATAGACTTTGATTTTGGGATAAATATCATTTACCTCTGCATGCTATGTATCTATTAGCACTTTAATAATCAATTCAATGTAAAATGTGAACTGGTGTGGAAAAAAGAAGGTTTTTGTCATCTGGAAAGGAGATAATTGACATTCATTTGCTTCATTTTTGTTTAATGGCTTGTAATCTGGTATCATTTTATGTGCATATTGTCTTGTTGAATCTTCAATTCTCTAGGTGCTGTTTCCTTGACATTGAGAAGATATAGATGGTGCTTACTTTGGAACTACATTCCCTCACCTTTTTCTGATGACATATGGTAACCTCAAGCCAACACAAGCAACTAGGAGTTATGTGCCAAGGATTTTCGGTTTCAAGGTGCACAAGCCTTGACATGTCAGTATTTCATGCTGCTTCTCACAATGCCGAAAAAACCACTGCTTAGCAGTGTTCCTCTTTTGTTCTTTTTTGAGTACATATGCCTCAAATTTTCCAGGTAAAAACTGCAGTGGTTTTTACAAATTCACAAACAAACTTTTAGGGAAGAAGATCCATGTAAAATGGCTAAAGCCACCTCAAAAGTTGTTAGTGACAGTATGCGTGTAATTTTATTCCTAAGTTTTATTGATAATCACTTAGTGTCACATTGGTTGTCTTCGAACTGTCTTCTTGTTATCACTTTTTTTTTAACACCATCCGTTCTTATTTGGTAACTGGGACCGTGGGTTTTTACAGTGTAAATTGCCAATTTTACCGAGGCAGGGAAAACTAATTATCTGTTTCCATGAATATGGAGTAGCAGTCTTGTTGCTCTAATACATGTTTCTGAATGTGTTCTTGGAGTCTAGAAGTTTATTTTATATTCTGAGGTGACGGAGGGCAAGTGACAGCATTATGCAGCTGATATGAACCGTACGCAGGGCTTCAGATGCATAAGCTTATATTGCAAGAATGATCACCTTAGAATCGAAAACAAAACTTAAAAAGTTGCAGTACCATGAAGTCAAAGGAAGAATGCTTGTTATGGAATGTGTCTAGCCTTGCAGAGGAAGACACCGTATGCTTGCGGCGTCATCTACACATCTGGATTTGGCCAAGTCCTGATTTCTGACCATTAGGTATCTTTTTATTATACAGTTGTGGTCTAAAATTAGCAATCGTTCCCAATGAACAAGTCATTAATTCAGTAAGAGTGTTTCATAAATCATAATCACCCTCAGAGAACGAGTCAGACGGACAGTTTAATTGGAAGCTCCAAGACTGGATTTTTTTTTTTTTTTTTTTTTTTTTTGGGGGGGGGGGGGGTTAAAATGATATTAATAATTGGTGCTTGTTTAAGTCTCACTTGGAGGCCATGACTTCAGTACTTAAATAATTATATGTGAAAACACATAACCTTACCGTCTTTTCACAGTTAATTATCCTAATTCAGAAGTTTTTTTTTTTCAATTATAGAGTTAAAAGAGAGGGGACTAATAGATAAATTTTAGTCGTTACATCAGATAGCCAAATTCTTAATATCTTGTTCTGTTGCTCAAGTTATAAGGTGCGCTAGATTGACTTTATTTTTTTTACTTACCTAAACTTATTAAGTCGGATTTGTGAGTCGGATATGTGAGTCTCAATCAAGTAAAGTTTTTGGTTGGATTAGTCCTCTAACAAATGCAAATTGTGTCTTTAATCTTCACTTCTTGTGTTTGACAATATTTTGTAATCATCCTTTATTGTATCTAATGTTATTTTTTCTTCCTTCGTTTTATAATAATCTGATAAAAATAAAATGCAATTAAAATTAACACCTACGAGTAGTTTATAAAAGTGGTCTAATAAAGTAATCATACATTCGTACAAGATGAGCTCTCCAGGTCATAGAAAGGTTATCCACTTACCCACCTAAATTAGCCAATTAGGGAAGGAAAATACTTCAAATTAACTTTGAAAATTGAAATTATAAATTCGATAAATATCTCATTTATTCCAATACTCCGTAATATTGTGGTACGGAGTACATTCGAAGAAATATCCTGGCTGCTGCCTTTTAGTTTTGGGTTCACTTAATTGGCCTTAATCAATAAATTTTGTCTTTATTTAATTTGGAATTTATTATCAAATACCATTGCTTTTCTTTTTAGTTAGCCGTAATATTAATCTTAATTAGGGTGGATATTTGTGACTTTTGAGCTCAACTTGAATTGGCATCCCTATCTATTTTAAACTTTTTAATGTCTACCGAGTAGAACTCATAGAAGTAACTCTTTTAAACTAACTCTTTCGTTGTTAAATATATAAGAAATACTAGTATATAGTAAGTTACGTGTGTTTGAAGTTTATATATAATCTACAATTATTATCTTTTGTTACTACTAGTGATGTTATGTCTTCGTCATACCAATGTTTGTTTGTTTTTTTTTTTTTTTTTTTGAAGAGACCATTAAAAATGATATGGAAAAGTTCTCATTATTTTTGGTTAGAAAGCGGTTTAAGAATCTTACCAATTATCTTGAAAAATATATGGAATATTCGAGAGATCTTCCCTAACCTCCATCCAATATACTAGTAATAGAGTAGAGATATAAACTTAACTTTTATATCTCAATATAGTATTATACTATTATTACTTTATTAGGTACTCGTAACATTTTATTTTTGCTCATACATTAGCTAGAGGACAGAGGTTTCACAAACCATAAATATCAACTTACTTCTAGTATATGTGTATTTTGAAAAAAAACAAGGCACCCTATTAATGATGTTTAATACAAAAAGAAAATTGAGAAAAAAAAATCATGCATGCCTTTTAAATCTCAAAATACCTTACTATTATTATAAGTTACTTATAGCAATTTACTCAAAAACGAGTCAGATGACAGAGGTTTCATAAACCACAAATATCCGCTCACCACTTTTTTCGAGTGTATGGTATATTATTTACAATATAAGACTTATTTATTTTAAGTACTCATCTTCCAAAAGAAAAAATGCCATATGGAATATTCACTCTACCTCAAATTGACCTATTCAATATATAATTCAAGAAATACAATAGAAAAATGTAGCAATATTTTGTGCATATATTGACTAAACACTATGATCAATCTAGATAACCAATGCAGGCATACTTGATCAACAAATTCAACTTGAACAATTTTCTTTTTTTTTTTTTTAAATATAAGATGATGACACGTGTCATTCAAGTAATAGATGGATGGCAAAATAGTAAATAGATAAAAAGAGCAAGGACAAGACTAGAAAAAATGCATCATTTCCCAACATGAGCATGACCTCTGATTTCAAAACCAAAAAAAATTGCACTAATTTTCTCTCTCTAAAATTAGCAAGAACTGAACGAAGAAAACGCAAAAATTACTCGTATTTCTTCTCCCAAAATAACGGCATCATATCCCTTTACCCTCCTTATCACTGAGCTTCAAATTTCATCCCCAAAAAAAAAAAATATTCAAAGAAAAAATAGAAAGAACATAAATAATACAGTAAATTTTACAAGAAAAGAAAGAAAAGTGGGAGAATTTTGTAAGTAGTAGTAAGAATTTTTGGAAAGTTTTTTTTTTTTTTTTTTTTTTTCTTTGAATAATTTTTTTTCTGGGGTTGTGTAAATTTCTGGGTTTGATTCCATATGTAAATGCATCAGAAGAAATCTGAAGTTCAGATCGGAAAAGAAAGCAGTGGCATCTCTTCCGATTTCAACCCAAGTCCACCCTCTTTTTTCCCATCTTTAATCACACAAAAACACCCAAATTTCAGCAATTATAATCATCAATTCATCGAATTTCAAGCGAACCCACCTTTAACTTGTTCAATTGTTCCAAATTCTGGTGTTTTGGATCCAATTTTAGTGAAGAATGAGCCCAATTTTGGGTCAATTCCATCTCCTTCAACTTCAGCAACAACACCTAAAAACCCCCTTTTGTCAACTCCCCATAAACGCCCTTTGATGAACCCTACTCCTTCCCTTGTTAAATCCCCTACTTTACCTTCTTCTCTTAGTAATTACCCTTTTTCTGCAACACCCACTTCCAATTTCAAACCATTTTCTGTAAATTCAAGGTGCCCATCTTTGTTTTTGGTGGTTTCAACGGCAAAATCGGCTGCTTTTCGGTTAATCCGCCGCTTTCGCCACCTTCGCCGGCTTAGGGTTCATCTACGCCTCCTACTTTTGCTTGCTTTGCCATTTTTTTACTTCTTGGTATCACATCCTAGTCACTCTTTTATTCTTGATTTTCTTTCTGCATTTGCTTTTTCTGCTGCTCTTTTGTTCTCCCTTAATCTTGCCCTACCTAGACTCCCCTCAATTAGGGTGTTCCTTAATCGTTCATTCCCTTTCCCTATTAAGCTTTCATCTGCCTCGGCCTCGGCAGCTTCCCGGCCTTTGCCGGTGTTTTGGTCAATAGGGTCTAGGTCAAAAGCTGAGAAGAAGGTCAATTCAGGATGTTGGGTTCAAGTTTATAGCAATGGAGATGTATATGAGGGGGAATTCCACAAGGGGAAGTGTTCTGGTAGTGGGGTGTATTATTACTACATGAGTGGGAGGTATGAGGGGGATTGGATTGATGGGAAGTATGATGGACATGGGGTCGAAACGTGGGCTCGAGGGAGTCGGTATAGAGGACAGTATAGGCAGGGTCTTAGACATGGTTTTGGTGTGTATAGATTTTATACAGGAGATGTGTATGCAGGTGAGTGGTCTAATGGACAGAGCCATGGTTGTGGAATACATACTTGCGAGGATGGTAGCCGGTATGTTGGTGAATTTAAGTGGGGCGTCAAGCATGGGCTCGGGCACTACCATTTTAGGTAATTTCATGACATCCTTGTATAAGTTTTGCTAATCAATGAATGGTTTTTTTGGCTATATGATTAATTGTGGGATTGCTATTGTGTTGTCGCTTCATATTAGGTAATTTCATGCTTGTTTGGTACTTGTTTATAAAGGCATTTGTTGCTCATGATCCCACATTTGGAATTTTAGGTGATAATATACTTTGGTATGTTCCAACATTTATTATGATCCTTAATGATGTGGATAACTTCGCTTTGTGTTGAACTGTTGACATGCATCATTTAGAACACAATAATTATTTCCTTATAGCTGTATTGATACAATTTGAAGTTAATCATCTTGTTTGTCTTGGAAATTAAATGCTTAGTCAACTATCAACTATTTACAATTTAGTTGCGTTGGATATATACTGTGCATTTCTAGGCACTTTACTCCTATTGCACCAGAGCTATGGTGATAGAAACCTTAGTCAATATCACTGATCCTTTCACTTGTAGATAGTAGATATCTTTATAGTTAAACTGAGCAGTAATGCTTGTGATGTATTAGTTGATAAGAATAGGATATATTTGAATGGAGTATAAGGTTCTGCTTGATTGCGCTAAAGTGATTCATCTGCAGTATAGGAGAATTTTCACATGATAATTATGTTAAGTTAATTGATAAGTGTCCTTTTATTACTAGACGTTGTCATGACTAAATAGTTGTTTATACTTATATTTTTGAGTACTTAGGATTTCGACAATTGTTGTGGTTAGTGAAGCATTCATAGTGCAATAATTCAACAATGTCTGTGAGAAGTATGAAAATTGAGTAACCAAGGTGTAGCTTAGTGTTTGAGGTGTATAGAGGGTTGCGT